CCTGCCTGTTTAATAACTAGAGGCTTTGTTATCATAGTTGACACTCAGTTCTGGGATAACCCAAATGGGGAAAAAAAGAGCATTTTAGTACGGGTGGAATATACTTAGAGTAATCATGGCTAGGATTTTAAGAGCCTTTTAGACATGGTCTCCTGTAGCCCAAGCTGGCCTTGAACTTGTTGTGTAGCTGAGAATGACCTTGAATTTCTGATCCACCTTCCAAGTGCTGGGGTCTGAACCCAGGACTTTGTGCCTGCCAGGCAAGCACTCTCTACTGGCTGAACTATATTCCCGGCCCTAAAGCTGGCGTATTTTTGAACGCTGCCACTTCCCAGGTCCTTAAGTCAACACTTTCTCATTGAATCCTGAGCTCCATTCCCTGAGCGTGTGCCACAGTGAGCCAGTGGACGATCTAAGCCAGTGGATTAGAGTGTAGCTCACCCCACGCAGAGCAGCCAACAGCTCTGGGACCAAGGGTGTGGCATGGTGTGGCATCAGCATCTCACCTCAACCGCCCACACCCTCAAAGCATATGTGTTTTGCCTACTGTCCCCAAGCCCTGATCCCCACAGGTCCAACAGCAGCTTTGGAGGCACCATTAGAAAAATGATTATAGCTGCCCCAACCCTTGCCAGTCTCTCCTGTCCACTGTAGCATCCTGAGGTCGCTGCCCTTCTGTTTGATTATCCGAGGGCTTTTATCCCCAGTGCTTGGGGAAAGGCCGGTTGTGGGAAGGCAGTCTGGCTCACGATTCAGGCAGTGGGGTGGTCAGTATCCCCGTGAAAGGCCATCAGCCTGCAGAGAGGGGGGTGGCTAAGTCGTCAGAGTAGCTGGTCTCGGAAGGAAGTGAGACCTTTGAAGGCTGTGTTCTGAACCCGGTTCTGTCGGTCTCTTTCTCCACAGATGAAAGGTGCTTCTCCTCGCCTCAGACCAAAATGAATTGCAAGTTGCCACAAGCCATGGTGGGGCCCAGAGGCCCTCATAATTGCCATCCCTGCCGCCCCTTCTCCAGGAGCAAGGGTCACATGGGTCATCTCCCTCGAAACCCTGTCCACATTCTGAAGCACAGGTGTTGCCTGGAGGCACCCAGAGGGACCACAGCATTCCAGAGTGTCACTTCTGAGGGGTGTTGGATCCCCTGAGCCACCCTCATTGAAAAGTACTGAATGACAAGAGGATTGGTGGTTAGGGACTGATTGGCCCTGGGGATTAGATGACATCAGAGCTGAATTAGAGATAGAGTGGGGGTGGGTAGCATGACCTGTCGCAGGTGCATCACCTCCCACACCCACCTTCTCCAGTCCCTCTTGGGAGTTGAAGTGGAGTCCTGTTCTTTTTCAGGCTGGAAACTTTTGCTTCTTACTTACTGTAATGGAAGAGTTTGGGTGCCCCCTCTTCATACACTCCAGAAGGGAGGTTCCCCAGCCAGACCCTTCAGCCAAATGCCTGGTCTTTCCCCAGCACACCTCATCTCACAGAAGGCCAGTCCCCTCTCTTTCACCCTTAGCTTTGACCCACTCCACAGTGGAGCCGTTCCCAGGGTCTCCAGAGGACCAGGGGGCCTAGAAGCAAGGTGCGTCAGTATTGTGACCCCCAGGCCTGGAAGTCAAGGCTGACTGGCTGTAGAATCGCATCTGCTAACTGCCTCAGAGTCTCCCAGGCCTAGATAGGCAGGGGGCTGGATGCAATCCGTGTCAGGCCCAGTATGGGAAGATCCGGGATAAGCAGAGAACCTGAGGTCCTGATTGTGCTCAGGCTCCCAAGGCTGGCTCTCTCCTCTCTCTCTCTCTCTCTCTCTCTCTTTCATGTGTGTGGGGTGGTGTGTATATATAGGGTGTATGAATTGTGTGTGTGTATATACAATGTACATATAGGGTGTGTGTGTGCGTGTGTGTGTGATGTGCATATGATGTGTGGTGTGTGTGTATAGTGTGTATGTGTAGTATGGATATAGGATGTGTGTGCTTGTGTGTTGTGGTTGGTCAGAGGAAGTTTTCCCTCAGAGTCTGGAGGGGCCTGGGCTGCTCATGAGTCTGCATGGATCACGGAGAAATGAGAACTCACTAAGTGTCCAGCCCTGTGATGGTATGAAGGTGAAAACCAGAGCAAAGGCTAGCCCAGAGGTCCTCAGAGTGTGTCCTCATAGCTCCTCCACCACACCAAGGTAATAGATGTGGTTCAGTCCTTAGGAGCCATGTGCATGCAGGTTCACATCCAGTCCACCATGGCCATGCCCCTCCTCCTTGTCAGCAGTGAACCCCCGTCCCAGACTCTAGCTCAGAGAGCAGGGAGCAAGCACAGTCTCTAACTCCTCCTTGAGCTCCCTGGGACAGAGGAAAGAACCCCAAAGACCTCTGCGTTCTATCTGGAGGTGCGCTACCCATGCACACGCAGTTCTGAGTGTGGAGGAGGTGGCTTCCTTGCCACCATTACCCTGAGTCCACCCTCAGCCTTCTTGCTTTCTGGGCCCAAGCCTGGGGCCACCTCCAAGTGCCGACTCATTTTTCTCGAAGCTCCAGGTACTGCTATTTCTCACCTCTTCTGACTGTTTACTGCCTCAGCCCCTCCTGGTTCTCCCTGCACTGGGGTTGCCAGATGCTGTGATCCCCACCATTGTACCCCAAGCCCTTCCTTCAGGCTCATTACATTTTTGTACAGCACGTTTACACGGTTGTGGTGCTTGTGTTCTGTTCTGTAGGCACTGGGGAGTGGGTGGGTGAGAATGGGGTGATGAAAGGTGGAGGTGTGAGGTGGATAGGTATATGTGGGGTCTATTCATTGGAGGGGGTCCTTGAGCCCCCAACTTCTGCACATGTCTGCAGGGATCATTCCCAGCATCCCTGGGTCATTGTCCCCCTATGCTCTGATCCCGAAATCAGTGGCAGCTGAAGGCAGGATGGCACTGCCCCTTCCCACAAGACCCACCAGGGCTCTCTCAGAAGTGGGAGAGAAGTCAGTCTCCTGAGGTCGCTGCCTGTCACCCAGGAACTGTGCTTTCTAACCCTTGCAGTCTCCAAAGGGGGGGTTACCTTGTTCCATCCCTAACGATGTGCCTGATGTAGGACCGATTAGAAAGGTACATAAGCTATAGATGCTGGTGGGATGCTTGTCAACCGTTCAGAGGTTCTAGGCTACCTGTCTCCACTTTACAGATGGGAACATTCCGGCCCTCAGAGGTAAAGAACATGGGTCTTCTTGGTCACACAGTCCTTACACTCAAGCCACCAAGAGGACCAAGAAGACATCCTTCTACCAGTCAGGGTTATACGGTACAATTGTGACCACTGCTGGCCATCTTAATTACTGCAGCTACCTCTGGGAAGGCACACTGGTCCTTGCCAAGACCGTCCTGGGAAGGACATAGGGGGTGAGAAAGACTTTGAAAGAAAAGACAGCGTGGGTAGGAGTGTCAATGTCCAGGCAGAGTGGAGACAGTGGGGGCATGGATCTCCAGGGGCCGATGTGGCTCAAGGATGGGATCCTGGGATGGCAGGAGCTGGTGAAAATTCAAGAAGCAAAAGGGAACTTCAAGTAAGATAAAGGGAAGAATACAGCTTTTTTTTTTCTTCTTATTCCTCTAAAGATTAAATCGATTTGTGCCCCATAGACCTACATTGAGCCATAGAGAGTATTGTGCTATGATAACTGGGGGCCAGAGAGATGTCTTAGTGGGTAAAGGGGCTTTGCTGGCAAGCCTGGTGGCCTAAGTTTTGTCCCCAGGACCCATGTAGTGGAAGGAGAGAACTTGCTCCTCTAAGTTGTCCTCCGAACTGCCATAGTACACACACACACCATAATTACATACATGCATATATGTAATCCAAACAGAATACCTTGTGCTAGGTGAAAGCTGGACAATACAACATTGTCTCTCTCGACCCCGAAACACACCACATTCTCAGGCTTCTCTGTGTTTTACAAAGGGCCTGGGAAACTCTTTGTTCTGTTGTGCATGTAGCCTTTCATTGAAAAACAAGGAAGAGCTACAAATTTAGAAAAACTAGGGTCTCTGGAGAGATGGCTCAGCAGTGAAGAGCCCTGGCTGCTCTTCCAGAGTTACTGAGCTCAATTCCCAGCAGCCACAAGGTGGCTCAGAACCATCTGTAATGAGATCTGGTGCCCTCTTCTGGCCTGCAGGCATATATGCATGAGGAACATTGTATACATAATAAATAAATAAAATCTTTAAAAAAAGAAAAGAAAAGAAAAAAGGGGGCAGATAGTGGTGGCGCAGGCCATTAATCCCAGCACTCAAGAGGCAGAGGCAGGCGGATCTCTGTGAGTATAAGGTCAGCCTGGTTTACAGAGTGAGTGCCAGGACAGGCTCCAAAATTACACAATGAAACCCTATCTCGAAACACCCATTCCCCCTCTCACCAAAAAAAAAAAAAAAAAAAAAAAAACTATAGCAAAACTAATGATTTTTAGTTTTGGGCTTAGAATCTGGAGATGTTTCCTGGAAAGCCTACACAAAGTACACGTACACACACGCATGTACACGTGCTCTCTCTCTCTCTCTCTCACACACACATACATTCAATTTTGCTCATAGTTTTAGAGAGTTTATGTCCAGAATCTGAAGAGACCCAGAGACAAAGACGATGGATTAGAAAGCTTTGGGATGGGAATGGAGGGATGGCTCAGCGGTTAAGGTCATTGGCTGCTCTTGCAGAGGATCTGGGTTTGGTACCCAGCATCCACACGGCAGCTCACAACCATCTCTAATTCCAGTTCCAAGGGATCCAACATCCCCTCTGGCCTCTGTAGGCACTGTGGTGCACAGATATACATGGAAGCAAAACAGTCACACACATAAAATAAAAATAATTTTTAGAAAAGCTTTGGGTTAGATGGCTGTAAGGTTAATGTGTTACAATGAAAGTAACAATGTGA